ATGTTGAATGAAAAATTATTTAAATTTGTAAAAATAGTCGGAAAACGCGAATTATAATATCCTCCGAATGACGTATTATAAGAAAACATAAAAAATTTACTTATATTTGAAAAAAACATATATATTTTTTTTTGACATATCAATGCTACCAATCGTTGATGCATCTACCTGTATTCGTCTGCCATGATAAGATGACTATTTAAAACTATCCAATAATACAACACCACGTGTAAAAACCATGCCAAAATTATTACTCGTTTTGTTTTGCAATTTTAGAATTAAAAATAAGTACAGGTTAGAAAATGCAAGCATGAATTATTGAAGATAGGGTGCGCTGCTATTTTTTTGACCGCAACTGTATATAAGACCAAGGTATCTTCAATTTTATCATTAAATATTTTACAGATTACTGTTAAATTTATTTTTTTTTATTTGCATAAATTTTGAATATAATTTCCGTCTTATTCACACCAGGTCTTTTGCAGTTCATTACTGCCTGCGGTTGTTGTAACCTCCTAATTATTACAATTTGCTTACTTTATCGAATTTCTCGGATTTATTTAAATCACTACAAAGTTGTACATAAAATGGGGTTCATTCGTTCATTCACTTTAAATCTGTTCTGTGCTCTTGTTGTGACTGACTAAATACCGGTGATAAGAATCAATTGTTTTTACGTTAATTGTTTGATCGTAAATTTAGGTGTGTTTTGCCTACAAATCATTTGATTAGAGTTTGTGAAAATGAAAACAACGAACGAGCTGCGATTTGCTTTGATTTCGATTGATTTGAGTTGATTTAAAATAAAACGGAAGTGCTTATCGACACTATGCTTCTTGTTGCTACTTTAATTTGTTTTTTTTTTTTTAATTTCAATGTAATGATTGACATTGATATTGAACTTTTTGCTGGCCATTCAAACACAATAGTTGTGTTCCAGAACCTGCAAATTAGTACTAAATAGCGCTAATTCTGCTACAACGCGTTCCCGTACTCCAAAAACTAGCAAAACTTGCAGCTCTCTCGAGAAAAAAATGGCGCTGAGTGGTGCACATTTCTGCTTGTTTTAGCTACATGAATTTGGCCGAGCAGAAATGTGCATATTGTAAATTTGACATTTAATTGGCAGGGCTAACAAGTTTGAAAAATGTATTGATACATTTCAATAAAGAAAATGATCAACTTGAAAACTAAAGGAAAAACTAATATTTGTCGTGCAAAAAACAAAAAGAGAAAATATGGAGCAACTGATGTATTCACTTTTGGATGATTCCAGCAGTGAAGAGGTCTGGCTGAATGAGGAATCAGATCATTAATTATTATTATAAATTATTAATATTAACTTATCGTCTTCAATACTCATTTTTTAAATGTTGGCGCTCTTTTCAGTAAGGTTTCACCAGTCCGATTTAGGCTGTTCACTTTTGGAATTTTGAATTTTGACATTTTATCGCATTTCTGCTAATTTTCCGTTCCCTTATTTTTTGAGCAAACCTAAATGAGAATGACATTTCGAACTGTTCTCTCTTCTGCTAGTTTTACTACTAAAAAAGTACTGGAACACAACTAATGTAATTTTGTTTTGGAAGTGACCTTGATGTATTACATAAAAAGTGCAACAATAACGGTTTTAAGTATGTTTACATGATCATGGCAAATCCATCATAAATTTTACTATGTAAAAGATATATAAGTTATTATTCAAAGCATGGTAGAAGAATACAGGTAGATGCATCAATGCTTGGAAACATTGATATGTCAACAAATTTTAAAATTTCTGTTAAATATAAGTAGATTCCTATATGTTTTCTTATGCGACGTCATTCGGAGGTTATTATAACAAAAGCGTTTTTCAACAAATTTTACAAATTTAAATAATTTTTCCTTCAACATTTTCAATTACAAAATTGGATTGACAGTTCATTGTTCCAGCAGCTGTGTCGATGCGTCTACCTATATTCTTCGACCATGATTCAAAACAAAAATATATGCATACAAGGTGAGAAGGAAAAACTGCAATCAACTTCAGACTGCAGTTAAAATTATTCCAGTGACAGATCATTATATTGTTTACATGCGTACAAAACCATTTTGGTAAGAATTTTCCAGAAAAAAAGTTAGTCGTGTGGAATTCAAGCGTGATAGTGTGATTTCTTTATATTTGGCTGGAAAATCCCGAGTGGCTATCGTTAGAGCACTCCAGCATTTAAATGTGAATAAATATTTTGTGTCTCGAACCATTGCTCGTTACCGTGATACTGATAGCCCGTAGCCCGACGTCAAGGAAGTTGACGAAAGAACACAGCAAGATCAGTAGAATTGATTCGAAAAGTAAAGAAGCGACTTGATCGAAACCCGCATCGCAGTGGCCGAAAAATGGCTCGTGAGCTGAACATATCGCAATATTCTATTCAGCAAATATTGAAAAATGAGCTCGGGGTAAAGCCATTGAAATTCTAAAAAGCGCAAAAACTTACACCGCAAAGAAAGAAAATAGACTCAAAAGAGCTAAAGAGTTGCTTCGCTTGGCCGAAAGTGTTGAACTGCCGAATTTGGTTTTCTCCGATGAGAAAACATTCTTTGTCCAGCAATTTGTAAACAAACAAAATGATCGTGTTTACTTGCCAAAGAGGTCAGCTGAAAATGTGCTACTTCGATTGGCCACCAGGACTCAAGCGCCGGCCATGGTGATGATGTGGACCGCCTTAACAGCCGATGGTCGCTCTCCGCTCGTGTATTAATCAATCGTGGCATTAGAATAAATGCCATATATTATATCGAAAATATTCTGGAGGGTGTGTTAAAGCCTTGGGCACGCAAACATTTTGGCTGCAGACCTCAGAAATTCCAACAGGACACAGCACGCGCCACCCAAGAATGGTTACAAAATGAGGTTCCTCGCTTCATTTCCACTGCACAATGGCCACTAAAATTTTCGGATACCAATCCGTTGGACTATTGTGTCTGCAGTATTTTTGGGAAAGCAAGGTTGGCACTAAAAAATTCCAAAGTGTCGATCTCCTCAAGCAAGCGCTTCGCCGGAAATGGGCTAAAATACAGCAGAACAACATTAGGGTAGCGTGTGACGGTTTCATTGGCCGTTTGAAGACCATAATTCATGCCAAACTTGACCAATTTGACAAATCTAAACTTATTCTAAAATTTGATGCTATTTCCAACATTTTTTGCTTACATTCAAAAAAAAAAAAAAAACCTAAAAATGATGGTGTTTGACTTTGTTGCAGTGTTTTTTTATCCCCCTGTGTACGCCCCTTCTTATATCTTTCCTTTAGGAAGATGGTCTGAACTTTTGCTTATCGGACAGTTCGTATTTAAATGGAGCTTGTAATAACGAAAAACTATTTGTCCGGCATCATTTTTTATCTAACTGAGAGGTATAATAACCGGCCATAGTAGGTTTTCATTAGTTTTTCTACGTATAGACCAATACAGGTAGTCGCATCGACACAGCTGTTGGAACACTGAACTGTCAAATCTATTTTAAAATTTAAAACTTTGAATGAAAAATTATTCAAATTGTGTAAAAAATGCTATCATAACATCCTCCGATTAGCGTCGTATAAGGAAACTTATAAAAATCAACTTATTTTTGCAATGACATTCTAAAAATGTTGACATTCCCAAGCGTTTATGCATCTACCTCTATTTTTCTACCATGAAATTTCCTAAACTGTGAACGTACTTTTAAAATACGTTTACACATATTTATTCGAGTGGATTTTAACTGTCAATTCCATTGCGTAAACGTCAAATCGATTCTCCGATCCAGAGGATTAAATTTCACCTCTACGCAATGGGATTGATAGTTGAAATTCACTGTATTTAAAACTAAACAATTAAAGCACGTTTAGACTAATAAATCCACTCGATTTCAAATGTCAATTGCAAAACGTATACGTCACGTAACGTATTCATAAATCCAGTCGATATTATTTAAGGTATGCGCCATGGCAGAAGAATACAGGTAGATGCAACAACGCTTGGGAGCATTGATATGTCAAAAAATTTTATGTTTTTTTCAAATATAAGTAGATTTTTATATACTTTCTTATACTACGTCATTCGGAGGCTATTATTATTCGCGTTTTTCAACAATTTTTACAAATTTAAATAATTTTTCATTCAACATTTTCAATTCCAAAATTGGTTTGATAGTTCATTGTCCAAGCAGCTTTGTCGACGCCTCTACCTATATTCTTCTACCATGGTATGCGCTATGAAATTGATATTTAATTGGATTTCGTAAATCTAATCGTAATTTTGGAATTTGAAAATTAGATTTATAAATCGAGTAAATTAAAAATGACTAGTCAAAATAACTTTGCGTATTTACGTCAAAGATGTGCCATGGTAGAAGAATACAGGTACACAGCTGCTGGGACAATGAACTGTCAAACTAATTTTGAAATTGAAAAATTTGAATAAAAAATTATTCCGATTCGTTAAAATTGTTGAAAAATGCATATCATAACAACCTTTGATTGCTGATTAAACCATTGCTTAATAAGAAAGGTTGCTCAACTGCAAGGAAACTAAGAAAATGCAACTCTGTACTGGAGTCTTATTATATCAAATATACTTTTTAAACATGCAACAATTGGTTTTGTTTATTTAACAATATTTCACAAACTTTTTTGGGGAAAACTCACAAAACTTGAAAGGAATATCGGAGTTTGTTCACAAAATTGTATCCTAGATAGTAGGACAATATTGTTTTATCCCAAAATTGTACATTTTGTTTCCCGATAACGTGGAAAATATTTCTGTTGTCTCTATATTTGAAATAGTTTCAAATTATTTTAATTTTTATTAAAAAAATACATACACATATACAAACTGCGTATATGTTTTGAGAGAAAAGGGGCATCAAGAGAAATAATTGTATTTAGGGGGTAGTTTTGTTTTTCCTTCTGTAATTGTGCCATGGCTTAAACAATAGTTATAATTAATAAATTTAATTAAATTATTTTTTTTTTCAGAATATATCCTAGAACAATTGGATGACAAAAATGTCACAACACAAAATGAAGTATTGGAGCGCATTAGCGATTACTGTGGTAAACCGGTTACCGACTATCGAAACGATGAATATGAAATACCCTATACATGGACATTTTATCATTCATTCTTTTTCGCCTTTACGGTTTGTTCAACGGTCGGCTATGGCAATATATCACCGACCACAACATTAGGTCGAATGATAATGATTGTTTATTCCGTAATTGGTATACCAATAAATGGTATATTATTTGCGGGATTGGGTGAATATTTTGGTAAAACGGTAAGCTTTTTGAAAACACACATTGACAAAGCACGTGAAAGTCCTAATTTGTTTCTCCTAATAGTTTTCAGCCATTTATCGGCGTTATAAAAAGTACAAAATGTCCCGTGATGTTCACTATGTGCCGCCACAGTTGGGCCTGATAACAACAATACTAATAGCTTTGGTGCCGGGTATAACATTATTTCTCCTACTACCGTCATGGGTCTTTTCGTATTTTGAAGATTGGCCGTATTCGTTGGCTCTGTATTATTCCTATGTAACCACAACGACCATTGGTTTTGGTGATTACGTACCAACATTCCAGCCACAACAGGTAGGATTTAAATTCGTCATTACATTTGTTATAGTTATTTATTTTTTCTTTTGTTTCATTATTACTTCAGCCTCGAGAATTTGGCGGTTGGTTTGTGGTTTACGAAATATTCATAATTATTTGGTTCATATTCTCGTTGGGCTATCTATTAATGATTATGACATTTATAACAAGGTAAGTTCATTAAAACCCAAACATTTTATTCGTATTATTTGGAAGTTATTAAAGCACTTTTTGGGTTTTATATACATATAGTAATTAAACAATTAATTAAATGATTAAATTTGGAACCAAATTAACATAAAACATTTAATTAAGATTATTGCTAACTCTCTGTGGTGTGTATAATATTTGTTTTCATACAATTTAAGTTAAATATATCACAAAATACTTCTTACCGCTCTATGTGTGAACGTAGTGTTACCTTCTAATACTATAATCATGGTAGAAGAGTACAGGTAGATGCATCAACGCTTGGGAACATTGACATGTCAAAAAATTGTAAATGTTTTTTCAAATATAAGTAAATTTTTATATGTTTTCTTATACCACATCATTCGGAGGTTATTATAATCTGCGTTTTCAACAATTTTTGCAAATTTAAATAATTTTTCATTCAACATTTTCAATTCCAAAATTGGTTTGACAGTTCATTGTCCCAGCAGCTGTGTCGATGCGACTACCTGTATTCTTCTACCATGAATACTAGAATCGTTAGTTATGTATAGTTTATACTGAAACCTTTTTGTTTGACAAATTCGGTATCACGATCTATTTACGCATGCTCCATCAATTCCAGCTGATCACCAAATTGTGGCCGGTTATTACATGGTACAATAAGGAGGTATAACAGCTTCGTAAAACTACAGAAATACAGCCCTAAAGGTGGGAACACATTAAGGCTGGAAATACATAAAGCGCATATTTGGCTGGCTTAAGTCATCGGCTGTCTTCTTCGTAGATGAACAAAGGAGTTTTAGGTTTGCCTAGTTCGATTTTGTCCCAAGGCTCCTTTGTTCATTTCCGAAGAAGCCAGCCGATGACTTAAGCCAGCCAAATAAGCGCTTTATGTATTCCAAGCTTAAGGGTATAAGTACATAAGAAGCTTGAAGTCATGGCTAGGCATATTTTGTAACATTTCATAAAGGGATTACAGAGCCGCACTAAAATCCTGTCGTCGTTTTCCATTATAATTTGACATTAATATGCCTAGCCATGACTTCAAGCTTGTTATGTACTTGCACCTTAAGGCTGGAAATACATAAAGCACATATTTGGCTGGCTTAAGTCATCGGCTGGCTTCTTTGTAGATGAACAAAGAAGTTTTAGGTTGACCTAGTTCGATTTTGGCCCTAGGCTCCTTTGTTCATTTCCGAAGAAGCCAGCCGATGGCTTAAGCCAGCCAAATAAGCGCTTTATGTAACAAAAAAGCCTAGGGCCAAAATCGAACTAGGTCAACCTAAAACTCCTTTGTTCAGCAAATAGCGAGTCAAATACGCGAATGATGAATGAAATGGCTGGATTTTCTTTCAAAAATATGATCTTAATTCTCCAACCTTTCAATTCCATGGCAAATCTGGTTAATATTATTAATGCGCGACCCGCAATTTATGCTTCTTCCAATCATTGATTTTGAAAATATTTTGTTTTTATTTTTCAAAACAACAAATACATACACAAAATTGGCAGAAGTCGGGCACACTTAGAAAAAATTATAATCAATTGGGAGCTCTACCTTCCTTTTTTATTGTACCATGGGTTATTACATCTTTCCGATAGATAAACAAAAATGATTTTTTCGAACACATAAATCGTTTTTTCATTATTACAAGTTTAATTTAAGTATGAACTGTCCGAAAAGCAAAAGGTCAGATCATCTTCCCTTTTTCTTTTAACGTAAAGTTTACTGAATTCATGTTGCCATATTTTATATTGTTAATATGGCAATAACAAAAAAAAATTTAATTAATGTAATGGATAATGCTAATCGTTTATTTTATATTGAAGAACTGAATTATAGATTTATTTCACGAAGTTAATTACAAATTCTTTTTGTTTATTATTTTTTTGAAACTAAAATGAAGATGCCATTGTGAAAAATGCAGCGACTACCAGTTACTTTTAAAAAAGGCCTGCCATATCTCTTTAAAAAATGCTTATATTTTAAAGGAAAGATTTAATAATGAAAACCCGGTAGTGTGAACTTTATCCTTTAATTTTCCCAAAGTAAGCGATAACAAAAGTGCACTATAAAGGAAATATATAAGAACGGACCTATATATTATTAAATTCATTATTTTAAATGAAATTGAATTAACAAATTAACATTGATTTTAAAGAGGGTTACATGGGTTAACTTAATGTAAACTCAATTGTTATGTTTTGAATGTAAACAGGCTTTAATTCTCAAGTTATACAGGGTGAGATAATGAAACTGCAACCAAGTCAAGCGCCATAATTTTTACATTTTTTCTTAAATTTTATTGAATGAAAGCAAAAAATGTCGGAATTAGCATCAAATTTTCGAACAAGTTTAGATTTGTTCGAATTGGTCACCTTTGGCACGAATTAGGTCCTTCAAACGGCCAATGAAACCGTCACATGCTGCTCTGCAGGTATTTCGGCTCATTCCCGGTGAAGCGCTTGCTTGAGGTGATCGACACTTGGGGTTTTACTTGTTTGCAGTTTTTTATTTCACCCTGTACGTCATGCATCTTCGTGAACTAAATTCGTGGTGTAATGCTATTCTTAGGGTTTTTTTTTACCAAATAAACTGCACTTTAAATGTATGTGTGTATGTATATAATGCCATTATATGTTCTATCTTAAAACTATTAATATAAAGCTCCAATATGTACTTTTGGCTTCCAAATTACGTTTTTGACATCAAACGATTATTTATGGCAATTCAAAACCAACAAATACATTTGTTTACATATCCATGCTTTTTTCGATTTCGTTTACAGAGGCTTACAAAGTAAAAAACTAGCACGTCTGGAACAGCAACTATCATCGAATATTAAGGCCACACAGCATCGAATTTGGAGTGGTGTTACCAAGGATGTGGGCTATTTGAGAAGGATCCTTAATGAATTGTATATTTTGAAATTTAAGGTAACTATTTTGAAACAAATTTATGTTATCCCATGCTAAATTATTATTTGGGTTAAATAATCGTTTTTAAATGGATGCACCTTTGGGGAATTAGCTATTCGTTGCACTGGGATTGAAAAATGCACCTAATGGTTTATCTTTTGTTTCGTTTTTTTTTTCTTTTGCAATATTAATGAGGGTTATTTTTGTTTTTCTTCCTATCGTATGAAAAGTAATCATTTCATTAACGATTAACATAATTTCTATTGCTCTTAGTTTTATTAATAGCAAACTCATTGAGGCAGCTATATGTGAAGTAAGTATAGACATTGGCTAGCAAAGGAATATAAGTATTGTACACATTTGCAGGACAATTTTTTGAGAAAAATATTTTATACTACATGTGAACTATAAACCCCTGGAAAAAAATGGAGGGGGTATTGTTTCTCCACTGACAAAATAATAATTATAATACTATATAATTATTACTAAAAATTTTTCTACTACGAATTTTCAACTGGCAAAATACATAAAACGTTTTTTGTCTGGCTTCTTCGTAGAGGAACAAGGCAAAGACGTAGAAGTGTAAAGATACGACAAGACAGTGTTAAAATATGGCAACCCTGTGAAAATACCTCTGTTGCTATGATATCATAACAACATGGCATGGAAGAATAATACAGGTAGTCGCATCGACACAGCTTCTGGGACAATGAACTGTCAAAACAATTTTGGAATTGAAAGTAATGAATGAGAAATTATTGAAATCTGTAAATTTTTTGAAAAATACATATCGTTACGACCTCTGATTTGCGTCGTATAAAAAATCTACTTATTTTTGTCAAAACATTTCAAATTTTTTTGACATGTAAATGTTCCCATGCGTCGAAGCATCTACCTATATTCTTCTACCATGCAACATGGTTACCAATATTAACTGATTTAAACCGCTAAGGCTATATGCAAATTTTTGAAAAAGGTCTATGGAGTAGAATTTTGAAACCACATTTTTGGATTTTTCAAACATATATTTGTCATTCGTTTCTGTAATTACGGTTTTTATATTAACATGTCTCTGCCATAAACTGTTACTTTATGGCCCGTTCTTATATCTTCCTTTTATAGTCCACTTTTGTTATGCCTTACTTTAGGAAAAGTGAAGGATAAAGTTCACGTTATCGGATTCTCATTATTACATTTTTCCTTTAAAACATATGCATTTTTCACAGAGATATGACAAGCTTTTTGTAAAAGTAACTGGTAGTCACTGCATTTTTTCACAATGGCATCTTCATTTTAGTTTGAAAATAATAAACAAAACTAATTTGTAATTAATTTCGTGAAATAAATTTATAATTCAGTTCTTCAATAGAAAATAAACGATTTGGGTTATCCTTTTTTATATAAATAAATGTTGCTGTTATTGTCTTATTATCAACATAAAGTATGGCAACATTAATTCAGTAAACTTTACGTTAAAAGATAAAGGGAAGATGGTCTGGCCTTTTGCTTATCGGACAGTTTATATTTAAATGAGACTTGTAATAACGAAAAATCATTTATTTGTCCGACAACATCACTTTTTTAAGTATCGGAAAGATGTAATAACCGGCCTATGTATTGTAGATACAAATCATTTGCTCAAAATTCATTTTTTCTAGTCTTTACCATTTTAGGTCTTTGAACAAGAGAGTTTTAGGTTGACTTAGTTCGATTTTGGGCCTACACTCCTTCGTTCTTTTCTGAAGTAGTCAGCCGATGAGTTAAGCCAATCAAAAAGCGTTTTATGTATTCTCACCCTTACTCTCACAACTCGTATCAAATTGAACCAATTGTTAAAAAAAATTATTGTATCAAGTCTATTCTGTTAGTGAAATCTACGAGATGTCATCCTTCTTGGAGAGAAAAAAGACTGGCTTAAGGGCGGAATACATAAAGCGCTTATCTGGCTGGCTTCTTCGGAAATGAACAAAGGAGCCTAGGGCCAAAATCGAACTAGGCCAACCTAAAACTCCTTTGTTCATCTACGAAGAAGACAGCCGATGACTTAACCCAGCCAAATATGGGCTTTATGTATTTCCACCCTTAAGTTATCGGCTGGCTTCTTCGTGGATGAACAAAGGAGTTGTTGTTTGGCCCTAGGGCCTAGGGCCAAAATCGAACTAGGCCAACCTAAAACTCCTTTGTTCATCTACGAAGAAGACAGCCGATGACTTAAGCCAGCCAAATATGCGCTTTATGTATTTCCAGCCTTAAGCCAGGCAAATAAGATAAGTCTGTTGAAAAATTTAGCTAAAATATGGAAGCTACACGAGGACATAAATTTGTAAGAACGTTTTCCTGTCAAATGAGGCAATATCCTTACAAACTCCAAATTTGAAACCATTTCGGTGAAAAGTGTGACACAAATCATGGAAATACCGAATATTTGGAAGTAAATTTACATAAGGGCCTATACGAAACCGTGGACCTTCCAGAGAAAATATAGCACCTATTACGAACTCCAATTACCAAGTTTAAAACAATTCTGTTAAAAAATGTAGCTAAAATTATCGAAATACCCAATATCTGGAGGTACAGTTATATGGGATCAATACCAAAACTTTGACCTATATGTACAGTTCTGCGCAAAGATGTTTTCTACATATAGAGAAATTTTTTTCTTAATTTAAATTAAATTCGCTTTGAAATTGTGACTAAAACACTCAAAAAACCTTCAATCGGTAGGTAAAGTTATATGGGGCCCATACCACAATGTGGACATATATTAACTGTTTTGTGCAAGAGATTTAGAAAGCCATTACAAACTGTAAATACCAAATTCCAGACAATTCCTTTTGAAAAATGTGGCGAAAAGACTCGAAATGCTTAAAATGGCACAGTACAATTATATGGTGGTTATATGAAAAAGTTAGCCCGATATAGTCGATCTTCGAATGCAAAACGCATCAACGCTTGGGAACATTGATACCTCAAAAAATTTAAAGTGCTTTGTCAAAAATAAGTAGATTTTTATATGTTTTCTTATACGACGCCAATCGGAGGTTTTTATGATATGCATTTTTTATCATTTTTACAAATTTGAATAATTTTTCATTCACGATTTTCAATTTCAAAATCGGTTTGACAGTTCATTGTCCCAGCAGCTGTGTCGATGCGACTACCATAATACATACGTACTTTCTCGATCACAGCGAACCCTAAAAAACTTCCATAAAGTATAAAGCATGGTAGAAGAATACAGGTAGTCGCACCGAAACAGCTGCTGGAACAATGAACTGTCAAACCAATTTTGGAATTGAAAATTTTAAATGAAAAATTATTCAAATTTGTAAAAATGATTAAAAAATGCATATCATAACAACCTTCGATTGGCGTCATATAGGAAAACATATACAAAACTATTTAGTGTTGTAGAATCATTTAAAAAAAAAATTGACATATCAATGTTCCCAAGCGTTGTTGCATCTACCTACATTCTTCTACCATGGTGTAAAGGGAATAAAAAACATATGCACACATATGTAAAATGACAAATTTTGACATACACATGGATAATAAAAATGACATCTCACATGTAAATCTCATTCCGTGTGATAATGTCTTAGGAGTTGTTTGACATTAGAAAACACCTATCGAATTTGTAAAGCATGAGCCCAATTGTCATGTCTTTCGTAAACGCAGGAGTATAGAGAAATTAAACAATGGTAGAAAAATATAGGTGGACGCATTGACACAGCTGCTGGGATAATGAACTATCAAACGAATTTTGGAATTGAAAATGTTGAATGAAAAGTTATTTAAATTTGTAAAAATTGGTGAAAAATGCGAATTATAATAAACTCCGAATGCATCGTATAACGAAACGTGTAAAAATCCACTTATATTAAAAAGAGCATTCAAATATTTTTGACACATCAATTTTCCCAAGCGCTGATGTATCTACTTGTATTCTGCATCTACCTGTATACATGTCGTTTGTGACACCATGACAGCTACATTTTCGTTGCACTAACCGTCAGCTTAGTAAATCGTATCGTATTTCTTAATTTGACCATGGTAGAATTAAAAAGGTAAACTAATTTCAAACAGGCCCCATTAGCCCTGCATTCTCTGCAATTTACCTTGACAAATTTAATTGCATAGAATACAGGTTCTCACCTATGATTTGTGAATATACAACAGATTTGGAACAAAAAATTAAACATATGATAGCACAAGGTTGCCTTTCTAATTCTACCATATATTGACCATACCTTCTACCTAAGATTAACGAATCTCAGAACAATAATATTAAGCTAAATTCTTTCCTTTCAGCCGGTCTACACAGAATCTGCCGAGTATGAGTACTCCCTACATCGTTCGGCTTCTTGCCCTGAACTCACAATGTACCGAGTGGATCCCGTTCCAGTACCCAGCCGTAAACGTGCCTTCTCTGAATGTTATGATGCTGTTGAAGCTCGTGGCGACGACTCGCTGTTTACAGTTCATGCTTCGTCAGATACGGAACTCAATAGAATTGATCGACAGAAATCCTTTGAAACTGCCGAAGCTTTCCGACAAACCACAGGTCTATTGGCGAAAGTGGTTACTGCTTTGGCTACGGTTCAACCGCCACCACAAGATGAAGACACCACAGTGGGAGCGGCTAGTATGTACGGTGGTTATCATGGCTTTTCTGATTCACAAATATTGGCCAGTGAATGGTCGTTTCCGGGCACCAACGAAATACCCAAACCCAGAGGCAGGGCCTGTTCCGATTTCAATTTGGATCCCAAATGGAAAGGTGGCAGACGTTCTACCATGCCAGCTCACCAAGAGTGGACATGGAGCGGTGATAATGATCAAATTCAAGAGGCTATTAACAGTCGCTGTCGCCAAATGGATCGTGAACGTGAGAACATCTATCGCAGTAGTCTGGGTCTACCCACTCTCGATCATGTGGTTAATGTAGATGAAGATGATTTCAACAGGAAACCACAAACGGCTTCAGGCCGAGCAAAGAAATTCTCTATTCCTGATGGTTTCCGCAGGCTATTTCCATTCAAAAAACGTCCTTCGCAGGCGGATTGGTCTGTTGTAGAAGGCGAGAAGGGAGACAAGCGCAAATTCTCCGTTGCCAGTGTGCCTGAAGGCATACCACATAATGTTCCCACTTTGGATTATTATAGCACGGTGACCGCCAATGCCAGTCCTACCTACTTCCGTAATGGCAAACCCTTGCAAACATCCAATGGCAGTCTTAACACTCGCTTATCGGTTTTGGGTTTGAACAATATCAACGAAAATCCAAGACCAGAACTAAGTCAGCTAACGGAACTGAACAATGGCAGCTCAATTACAACCAATACTTCGTATCAAAGAAATCCCCAGGCCCAGGGAGATCGCAGGCGAAAAGTGTCGGCATTTACCCAAAATCCGGCTTTGTCCAATCGCCGGGGCAGCATGTTTCCACCGACAAGTGCTGCAGCAGCACTTTCGCAACGACGGGCCAGTGTTTTCAATCCCGAACGAAGGGGTAGCAATGTCTCTGTTGCTGGTTTTAATCCGCCACCCAGAAGGGGCAGTCTGTTTCCACTGGCTGCCAATGCTAATCGCCGGCCAAGTCTATTCTCCACAGCATCCCAGGAGGATGTGGAAATTTTGGAAAATACTACATTGGCTGATTTAATAAGGGCTTTGGAAATGGTGCACACCCAGGCGGTGTTGGATGAACAAGTGGAGGCATCAGCTCTGGCCAATAAATCGGGAGGCGGTGGACTTTCCAATATGTTCCGTTCCGATAAGAAGAAACGTAAGGCAAGCGCTGCTGTTCTAGATGATTCGCCGCTACCACCCATACTGTCATTATTTGGCAACGATTCTAAGACTCTGAATGCAGCAGCCGCCAACCGATTGTATGCTCGTAGGTCAACAATTGTTGGAACTTTGCCGCAGACATCACATCAGCTCAATCAAACTTCCATTACACCCAGTAATGCCAGCAATATACTGACCAGGCGCCGACAATCAACGGTACAAATTAAAGATCCTCCACCCAGCTATAGCGAAAGAGATGGCCAATCTTCAGTGACGAGCACTCCTTCGACACAAACGAAATTCAAACGTCGTTTCAGTGTTCGACCTACAGCGCTGCAAATACCACCGGGTATGGCACCACCACCTGGTGTAAATATAAACACGGTAGTGTCCCAAATGCCCATGGGCGGACCATCCACATCAGCTGGAGCAATGTCATCGCTAGGACCACCTTCACAAACTGTGCTACAGAGACGTTTGTCGTTGAGGCCATCACCGCTAGCCCAACCCACAATAACCACAACATCTCCAGATGGTTCTACAACAACGACCAATCCATTACCATCAGCGTCCAGTAGCACAGCTCGTTTGCTGCCAGCTCGACCATCTAACACCAGTACACATTCGCCATTGTCACGTATTGTGCAAATATCGCAAGCTCAACGTAAATCTAGTATGCCGGATGGTTTCAGTACTCAAAAGCCAGATAAATAAGTCGAAAAGCCGAAGATTATGGAAAGAGAAATCTGATATAGTTACGTTTTTTCTTCTTTCCATTTACTCCAAAATTCGATCCAAAATCATCATGCTGTGTTCCAGTCCCCTAAAGCTTAAGGTGAAAGTACATAAATGGCTTTTTTGACTGACTTGAGGGGGGGAATACATAAAGCGCTTATCTGACTGGCTTAAGTCATCGGCTGGCTTCTTCGGAAATGAACAAAGGAGTCTAGAGCCAAAATCGAACTAAGTCAACCTAAAACTCCTTTGTTCATCTATGAAGAAGCCAGCCAAATATGCGCTTTATGTATTTCGTAGAGGAACAAAGGAGTTAGGTTGACTTAGTTCGATTTCGGCCCTAGGCCGAAGAAGCCAGTCAAAAAAGCGATTTATGTATTCCCACCTTTACATTATTTATTGAAAGTACACACTGGTGCAGCAGCAGCTAAGAATGGAAAGATTACGTTTAAAATGGCAGTTGACGCTTTCATTGTATTCAATAACTCGGCTATAAGAAAAATAGTCAATAAATAACCAATACCATTGTTGTATTAATATTTTTAATATTTTCCAAAATATTGCCAAATATTTGTTATAAAAAGACAATAAGTTATTATTATATTCTTTGTAGTTTTAGTTACTAGTTAAGTAGATAGCAGCATTTAATATTTATTGTTAAAAATCGAGCAGAAATGAACAAATTTTTAATAAACACAAATAAATACTTAAGAAAAAAAGGGTAAAGAAATCTCCCAGGATTTTTGTTACCCACAATAAAACAAGTTACTTCGTTTTTGTAGAAGGTGGGGGTAATTTAAGACTATTCCTTGGGTGAATGGTCGAAAAAATTTAATTCAAATTGCTTTGCCTTTGGTCTGTTCCAGAACTGCAAGAATGTAAAAGTTTTTACTACGATAAACGATTTCCCTTTATGATATCGAAAGAAATTGCAAAACTAGTAGATTTTTGCATGGTACAATAAAAAGGTAAGGTAGAGCTACCAGCTGATTACAATTTTTTCTAAGTGCGCCCGATTTCTGCCAATTTTGTGTATGTATTTATTGTTTTGAAAAATAAAAAGAGAATACATGGTACCATGGTACAATAAAAAGGTAAGGTAGAGCTCTCAGTTGATTATATTTTTTTTTTTTTTTTGAGGGTGACCGACTTCTGTCAAAGCCGTTTTGCTGTATTTTGATTTTATACTCAAACTTATGAAAAATTCAAAACAGAAGAAAAACAAAATACATACACGTTTTTTTTCCTGAAAAAAGTTGTAATTTTAAATCAAAATTAAACTATTTTCATTAATGAAAAAATGAGAAACTGCGTGATATGTAAAAAACGGATTGGAAGTCAAAATGGAAACTTTTTTAGTATTCCTGTGGATCATAAAAGAAGGTGTAAATGGTCTGCAGAAAGCGGTATTAATTTCAAGTTGAATAACTTCTCTAAAATACATTTTGCATTTTAGTATGAATATCACCGTGTTAACTGTTTAATTTAGCTAGAAATACAGAATTCTGAATAATACAGAAAATACCACAAATGATGACACGCAATTCCCAGATTTATGACTCAGTTCTTGAAAATTTAGACGAAGAATTCCATTAGAAAATGAAGGAATAAACGAGATAGACACTCCTAAAAACGACGCTTTAGAGTATAAACCTGGGTACATTATTCGGAAACTTAATCTTAACGAATACTTGGCTGAGGAGAAATCCTTCACGACCGGATCGACCGATTTTCAAGAGGCTGTTTAAGGAAACCGTCTAAAGAATTTCTATTGCACATAAAGCAACTTGAACTAATTTTTGAATTCGTAAATGGCAGCGGTATCGATCACGAACCGCAATTGCACCGTCGAATGTTTCAAATGAGCCAAGTATTAATCTTCCTGATAATATCAAAAAGTTTTTATTTAAATGTCGAATATATTTCCGTGAAATGCGCAGCTAAGAATGCAAAACTCAAAACGAAGAATTTCGAGCCAAAAGAAACTTTGGAAGATTCAACTTTGATTTTCGCGCCACTGCTAACTTCTAACATTCTTCAATTTTTATTAATTATCCCAATTTTATTATACAACTCTTTGTTTTAAAGTTAAATACATTTTAAGTATATGGATTTAAAGAATGTACAAAACAAGAAAATATAAATGATATACAAATTGTATGATGTCGTATAATGATTACTCTAGTCTACATTAAATTTAATACAAAAGTTGTTCTGATATTCATGTAATATTTATTTTAATTAAATTGTTCACATTGTGATAAAACTTTAACGGATTTTCTAAATAAGAAGTAAAAGGCTCGAAGTACACTCCACCATAAGCTAAAGAAAACATTTTTATATAAAGTATGGGGATTCAGACGTGTTCCACTCTACACTACATATACCAGTGAGATTTATATTTTTTATAAAATGTGTGTGTGACAAGGTAAATTACAGAAAATGCAGAGATGGAAATGCTTATATGGAATGGCTTTACCTGCTTAATTTTACCATCGTAGAAAATTTTCAAAATCAATAATTGGAAGACGCGTAAATTGCGAGACGCGCATTAAAGCTATTTTTCCATGGAATTGAAAGAAAGAACCGTTCCGATCATATTTTTGATAGAAAATCGAGGCATTTTATTCATTTCCCGCTCTTTAAATGATTTTAAAAATATGGAATAAATGGAAACAACTTGTTGCATGCAAATTTGACAGGAAGCTGGCATAGCCTCAGGGCTGTATTTCTGTAGTTTTACGAAGCTGTTCTACCTCCTTATTGTACCATGAATTCTTGCAGGTTCTGGAAGATATCACATATTTACATCAAACGTGCTATTTAGAAGGGATATTTCATCGATTAGATCTTAAATAAATGTCGACGAACATTAACCTATCTTAATGCAATCGGATGGGGCATTTCTCACTAAACAATAGTCTATAATAATTGGGCGCCATCAACAAGTGATTTGAAAGTTTAAATGTGGGAATACATAAAGCGCTAATTTGGCTGGCTTCTTCGTACAGAAACAAAGGAGTTTTAGGTTGACTTATTTGACGATTTTGGCCCTAGGCTCCTTTGTTCATTTCTGAAGAAGCCAGCCAAATAAGCGCTTTACAGAGTAAGATAAAAAAACAACTGCAACAAAGTCAAACGCCCTAATTTTTACATTTTTATACCCTCCACCTTGGAAAGGAGGGTATATTAACTTTGTCATTCCGTTTGTAACATCCTTAAATATTCGTCTTAGACCCCATAAAGTATATATATTCATAATCAGCATAAAATTCTAAGTCGATTTAACGATGTCCGTCTGTCTGTCTGTCCGTCTGTCTGTCTGTGTGTCTGTCCGTCTGTCTGTCTGTTGAAATCACGATACAACCCACATTATTTGACGTAGAGGGCCAAAATTTAGCAGAGCTATTTGCATAGTGTCTAGGATGGTTGGTATTGAAAATGAGATATATCGGTCCACGTTCTGGTATAGTCCCCATATAACGGTACCTGCCGATATTCGGTATTTTGATGATTTATGCCACATTATTTCACGGATTTGTCTGAAAATTGGTATTTGTAGGTCATAACGGGTCCCTGAGCGTGTGGCAAAACATTGCATGTATAGGTCCACGTTGTGGTATAGCCCCCATATAAAGGTACCTCCCGATATTCGGTATTTTATATTTTTTTGCCACATTTTTTCACGGATTTGTCTAAAAATTGGTATATGTGGGTCATAATGGTTTCCAGCTCCGGTGGCGAAACATTGCATGTATGGGCCCATGATTTGGTATAGCCCCCATATAACGGTACCTCCCGATATTCGGTATTTTGATGGTTTTTGCCACATTTGTTCACTGATTTGTCTAAAAATTGGTATTTGTGGGTCATAATGGGTCCCTGAGCGTGTGGCAAAACATTGCATGTGTAGGTCCACGTTTTGGTAAAGCCCCCTTATAACGGTACCTCCCGATATTCGGTAATTGGATGATTTTTGCCACATTTTTTCACGGATTTGTCTGTAAATTGGTATTTGTTGGTCATAATGGGTTCCAGCTTCGGTGGCGAAATATTGCATGCATGGGTCCATGATTTGATATAGCCCCCATATAACGGTACCTCCCGATATTCGGTATTTTGATGGTTTTTGCCACATTTTTTCACTGATTTGTCTAAAAATTGGTATTTGTGGGTAATAATGGGTTCTAGTTCGTGTGGCAAAACATTGTAATTATAGGTCCACCTTTTGGTGTAGCTCCTATAAAACGGTACCTCCCGATATTCGGAATTTTAATGGTTTTTGCCACATTTCTTCTAATGTTTCTTTTACCCTAAGGTGGAGGGTATTAAAAGTTTGGCCCGGCCGAAATTAATGTTTTTTTACTTGTTTTAATTTGTATTGAATGAAAGCAAAAAATGTCGGAAAAAGCATCAAATTTTAGAGTAAGTTAAGATTTGTTCGAATTGGCCACCTTTGGCACGAATTATGGCCTTCAAACGGCAAATGAAACCGTCATATGCTGCCGAAATGTTGCTCTGTGGTATTTTGGCCCATTTGGCGAAGCGCTTGCTTGAGGTGATCGACACTTTGGTATTTTTTAGTGCAAACTTGTTTTTCAAAGTACTCCTGACACAATAGTCCAACGGGTTGGTATCTGGAGATTTTGGTGGCCATTATGCGCTGGAAATGAAGCGAGGTACCTAATTTTCTAACCATTCTTGGGTGGCGCGTCCTGAGTGCGATGGTGCTGAGTCCTGTTGGAATGTCCAATGTTTGCGTGCCCAAGGCTTTAATACACCCTCCAGATTGTTTTCGCTATAATATTCGGCATTAATTCTAATGGCCAAGGCGATTAATAGGAGAGGAGAGCGGCGGTATTTTTACCCTGATTTTGAGAACTGTTTTTTTCTTGGGGGACAGACCCGGGTCTTTTGATTTTTGACCCGAAAGTCCGGGTTCAAGACCCCGACTAGACCCGGATCCAATTAGCCGATATAGACAATATAGGTGTCGTTTGCAACAAGTGGTCAGGTATTTCGGAAGTTATTGTCAAATTATCGATTTTTTGGACCCGGATTTTTTATAAAACCTCCAAAAAGTAAAAAAAGAGGCTATTAGGGGAGTCAACAAAGTTGTGCCAAAATTTGTGATAATACCTTTTTCTGGTGCAGAGATATGGGTCTTTAAATCCGCATAACCCGATTCTAACCAGTTCATTAAAATTATGTTTCCAATAAAAAAGGGCTTACTAGAAAAAAATAGTTTCCCGGGATCAGGGTAAAAATACCTACCACTGGAAAAATGTCGAAAAAAAATTGAAGAATTTTAACTAAACTAGAGTTAAGCCACGACGTCATTTGGAAGTTATTATAATACGTGTTTTTTTTTAACAATTTTTAAATTTGGTTTGACAGTTCATTGTACCAGCACCTGTGTCTATGCGTCTACCTATATTCTTCTACCATGGTTTTGCCACAGAATTGAGATATTGAATGGTTTAAGTAATGTTTTTGAAGGAAATTCAGGCAAAGGGGCACATATTGATTGTGCTATGTTCTCAATAAACTATCAGCTGATTTCTTGCCGAAAATGTGTTTCTAGATCCCTTACTACTGCTTTCCATGTTTCGGTCTTTTAGAACCTTATCTTTGTTTTTGTTTTCATCGCCACCTTTATCACACATTTACGCTCTTGTCTCTGCTTCTGCTCAGGGCTCTGTAGTTTCAGTCATCCTTTTGTGAAAGCTTTGCTGCGGTGGCTTCGATGGGCGCTTTAGATTTGTGTTTTTTTTCCAGAGTAGAGGGAATTTCGTAATTTTTTGTCATCTTTGTTTAAATCAGTAGAGTACCACCAAAGCCACAAGGTTAATACGATTTATAGCAGGTAACGTGCAAATGTTCAGTGTATGTGTGATGTGGAACACCTTGGGAAACCGACAAAAATTTTGCGTCGAGTACGATCCGTGGAGGCATTACATATGACACAGATGCTACAGATATACAAGAACACGTGAAGAAAGGAATTGATTTGCAATAATATTCGATTTACATTTCACAGAGGCAAAGAATGCTCCACAGCTTTCTTTGGAAGAAGAGACCAGCTCAGCTCGTAGAACCAACACATTGATACCTTTAGTATATACGATCGGCTTGAAACCATGGATGAAGGATCGCAACGTTTGATAGACGACTGCTTTTTGCGTCCAATCCAGCAGGATGTTCGTTCAACGTAAGTGAATTTCGAGTATTTGTAAATTCCTTCATAATATTTTCTTTATGTTTATTTAGGAATAGACCTGCGGAAGTGCCCGCCTCAAAGGTAACACTTAAAACCGAAATGCAAGTACTACGTCTAAGTGATGATTCACAAAAAATGTGCATGGAGACATTAAGATCGATACATGGTGACGATTTTCGTTTGGATGATCCCTCCAAGTACAAAGACCGAGGTGGTAGGATGAAAAAATCCTATTGGGAGGATCGTGGTACACTTGTGGTCCAGTCTGTTACCAATTTCTCCTCAAATAACAATGCTTTGGATGGCGAAAAAAATCCAGAAAGTCCGGAACAAAGATTACGACGTTATGCTCTGTTGAAATTGGAAAATTATGGATTCGCTTCTAGTCATTGCCTGGAAGCCTATGATCATTGTAATGGCAACGTGGATGAAACCTTGAATCTTTTGTTCCGTAAATACATGAAGATAGCGGATGAGCAGCAGGAAGTATCAGTGGATTTCACAGAAAACGAATTACTTGATATGCGTCGTGATGAAAAGGAGGCTTTAGAATCTATTTATGATAAGATATTCGAAGAAAAAGAAAAGAATTCCGTTTGGAATTTGAAATTTAAAATTGAGCATCTATTGCAGCATAGTCCCTCGGAGGTGCGTAAGGCACGCGAGGCTGCTGCGGCCAAAGAAAATTCTAATCAAAGGCCAGTGAAAAAGCCCAAGGAACCACAAAGGTGTCGCAATTTCGATGAAAAAGGTACCTGCAGATTCGGTCCAAAATGTCGTTTTGCCCACATTCGACCAGAACCGGTAATACCTGAAAAACCCGCAAGCAAAGACAAAACCGATGAGTCAGATGAAAAATGGTTTTATTTAGAGATTCGATTTCCTCCAAACACCAAATATCCCTATGAGGCTCCCTATGTATATGTTAAAACCACATGCCATGACATCCCCAATGAAATAAGACTGAAATTGGCGAGAAAGCTTTACAGAGAGGCTCAAGAGTCCTGCCGCGATGGCATACCCTGTGTTTATAGTATTTCCGAGTTACTACAAATGGAAAGTTTTTCCGAAAACATAGATCTGGATCAAGAACCCTTTCCCAGACCCGATAAGTCTATATTTTATGTTGAAGATCCTTTGGAAAAGGAAGATATTGTAAAACAATTTGAAAATTTACCAACGCACTATGAAAAAGGTCTTACCTCACATGGTGATGGTTTTCGCAAAGATCCCGAATCGATGGAGAAAGAAGATCGCCAGCTATTAAAACGTTTCATGGACCGTCGTAAAGATGAAAAATATCAAAAGATGATGAAAACAAGACAGAACTTACCAGCCTTTACTAAAATGATGGATATTTTAAATTTGCTTGAAACATCTCAAATATTGGTTATTTCTGGAGAAACAGGCTGTGGTAAATCTACTCAGGTCCCTCAATTTATATTGGACAACTGGTTTTTTAAGGCTTCACAGCTGGATAATTCGCAAAAAATGCCCCACGTCGAAGTGATATGTACGCAGCCAAGAAGATTGTCAGCCATAGGTGTGGCTGAACGTGTTGCCGATGAAAGAGCTGAAAGAATAGGACAAACCGTTGGCTATCAAATTCGTCTAGAAAATAAAATATCCTCAGCCACAAGGTTAACATTTTGTACGACTGGTATACTGCTGAGACGTTTGGCATCCGAACCTCTATTGGACTCAGTTACCCACATTATTATCGATGAAGTACACGAACGCAGTGAAGAATCCGATTTTCTTCTTATGATAGTCAAACGCATACTGCCACTGAGGCCAGATCTGAAGGTCATACTGATGTCAGCCACCTTAAACGCCAAACTCTTCTCCGAATACTTCAATGGTGTGCCGGTATTAGACATACCTGGAAGAACATTCCCTGTGGAACAGCTATTTCTTGAAGACATACTCGAACGTTGTGATTATGTAATGGAATGTGATTCTCAATATAGTCGTAAGGTTAGTAAAAAGGAAGAGGAGGAGTTGATGCGAGAGTTGGAGTATGCCGATATCAAAGCTGAAAATGTCGCACCGCCTGCCAAACTTAAAGATGAGAAGTTAAATTTATCAGCCATGTATTCACGTTATGCAGACTACTCGAAGAAGACTTGTAAATCGATATATCTTATGGAGCCGATGAAAGTCAATCCAGAACTAATTGAGTCTGTTCTGAAATACATTGTAGAGGGTGAACATGAATGGCCAAGAGAAGGTACAATATTAATATTTTTGCCTGGCCTGCAAGAAATACAAGCTGTACATGATGCTCTTTGTGATAGCAATATGTTCGGACCAAGGTTAGTAGATTTATTTAATAGCAATAATAGCAACACCGTCTAATGATTCTTCTTTCAGATCTGGTAAATATATTTTAGTACCTTTGCACTCAACACTATCCAGTGAAGAACAAGCTGCCGTCTTCCGTCCAGCCCCCAAGGGAAAACGAAAAATTGTACTAAGTACAAATATAGCAGAAACTTCTGTGACAATAGATGACTGTGTTTTTGTTGTCGACTATGGCCTTATGAAAGAAAAACGCTTCGATTCGAATCGCAATATGGAGTCTTTGGAATTGGTCTATGTTTCGCGAGCCAATGCCAATCAGCGTAAAGGTCGTGCTGGCCGTGTTATGCCTGGTGTTTGCATACATTTGTATACACAACATCGTTTCAAGTACAATTTCTTGGCTCAACCCATACCGGAAATTCATCGTGTGCCCTTGGAGCAATTGGTGTTACGAATAAAAACGCTGCCCAATTTCCAGGGTCTTAATGTCGTGGAAGTTTTGGGAGAAACTTTAGAACCGCCCACGGAGGAGAATATAATTGGTGCTGTTACACGTTTACAAGATGTTGGAGCTCTAGACGAAGAACAACAGCTTACGCCATTGGGTCACCATCTTTCAGCATTGCCGGTCGATGTGCGGATAGGCAAGCTAATGTTATTCGGAACAATTTTTCAATGTTTGGATAGTGTTTTAACCATTGCCGCTTGTTTGTCTCACAAATCTCCGTTCGTAAGTCCTTTCAACAAAAGAGCCGAAGCGGAGAGACGTAAACGAGAGTTTGCTCTATGCAATAGTGATCACTTAACATGTTTGCTTGCATACAAGGTAGGTTTTTACTCAGGTTTTAAAGGATGTATTGTTGTGACTTTTGATATGTTTTAGAAATGGTTGGAGGTTTCAAAGCGTAACTTCTTCGCCAGTCGCAATTATGCTGAGGAACATTTTCTTTCGTTGAAGACATTGCAAACAATATCGGAAGTTAAATATCAATTTTTAGAGTTATTGGTGTCAATAGGATTTGTTCCAATTAATGTACCAAGAAGACGTAAAAATGCTCAGGACACCATTTTGGATTTGACGGGTAAGAAAAGATAAGTTTTCCAATTTCAATATATAATAATCACAAAAACTGTTTGCAATAGGCACGGAGCTGAACATAAATGGTGATAATAATCGTCTTCTAATATCCTTACTGTGTGCCTCTCTTTATCCGAATATTGTAAAAATCCTAACACCGGAGCGCAGTTATATACAAACAGCCGGTGGAGCTATGCCAAAATTGGCCACAGCCAAAGATTTACGTTTTAAGACCCGTGAAGATGGTTATGTGGCCATACATCCATCATCGGTTAATTCGGATACCGGGAATTTCCAATCGCCATTTTTGGTATATCAAGAAAAAGTTAAAACTTCTAGAATTTTCATCAGGGAATGCAGTATGCTGCCATTAGTGCCTCTTGTTCTATTTGCTGGTTCTGATTTAAAGGTTGAACTACACGATGGCGATTTTCTCTTCCTGCTAGAAGATGGCTGGATCATAATTAAGGCACACAACCACGAGACAGCGGAAATGATACAATGTCTGCGTTTGGAACTTTTAAAGCTGCTGGAAGAGAAAATTCGTGATCCCTGTTTGAATTTATTGCATCATGAAAACGGTCGCAAAATTATACAAAGTATTATTTACTTAATTGGTCACAATAATTGAATTGAAAATTTAAGCCAAAATTGGTCAAACCAAATGAAACTTGACTATTCTTTGTTTTGTGGAAGAGATTATTTGTTTTTGTGTTCGTTTTCTTAGAGAAATGTTCGTGTAAATAAAATACAATAATATAACATTTTGATACTTGTTAATGTTATTTTCTGAATGAAATGTAACTTTTTATAACAATAAATATAAAAATACAAACATGTGTGTTGGCTGCAGTACTTCTTGTTTATTTAAGATGTCACATAGCTAGAATCTTATTGTGAAATTTCTCAGGTGGGCTGTATTTCTTCGTCAAATACTTCCCTTTTGTCACATTCAAAATGTATACTTCATTTCCTGGGAATGACGCTGCCCAAATGTTGCTCTGCGGTATTTTGGACCATTCCCGGCGAAGCGCTTGCTTGAGGTGATCGACAATTTGGTATTTTTAGTGCCAACCTTGCTTTCCAAAATACTCCAGACACAATAGTCCAACGGATTGGTATCGGGAAATTTTGGTGACCATTGTGCGCTTGAAATTGAGTGAGGAATCTCATTTTGTAACCATTCTTGGGTGGCGCGTGCATTCATTTGGATTCATTTTAAAGCTGTCGGATGAGTGGCTTAGAAATTACAGCAGTCTGAAGTTGGATGCAGTTTTTTCATCTCACCCTGTATCGATGTGCTGTTATGTACATTTTTATACCCTCCGTCATAGTATGGAGGGCATGTTAAGTTTGTAATTCCGTTTGTAACACCTCGATCAGCATAAAATTCTATGTCGATTTAGCGATGCCCGTCCATCCGTCTGTGGAAATCACTCTAGCTTCCGAATGAAATGAAGTAGAGTTATATAAAATTTTTCTCAAATGTATATTATGTCTATAGGATTTTTCGTATTGAAAATGTGCCATGTAGGTCCACGTTTTGGTATAGCCCCCCATATTAGGGTACCTCGCGATATTCGGTATTTTGATGATTTTAGCGACAGTATTCACCAGAATTGTTTCAAATTCGGTATTTGAAGTTCGTAATGGATACTACAGCCTACGACAGAAAATTGTCTGTGCAAGTCCACGTCTTCGTATAGCCTCCATACAAGGGTACCTTCAGATATTCGGTATTTTGATGATTTTAGCGGAATTGTTTTAGATTTTGTATTTGAAGTTCCTAGCGGATACTACAGCCTATGACAGAAAATTGTCTGTGCAGGTTCACGCCTTCATATAGCCCTCATATAAAGATACCTTCCGATATTCGGTATATTGAAATTTCTTTCGGCCCGGCTGAACGGACAGCTTTTTTTACTTGTTTTAATATCAATTTCAAAGTTATTCCCAATAAAAAATTAAACAATTTTTCTACATTTTTTAAACAATCATAGCTAGTTATATTTATTTTAATACGCTTTAATTTTATTTCATATTTAATATAAAATAAAATCGGCAATTATAACGTACACATTTAAACGTTGAAGGATACGGATTACACATAAAACCTACTTTGAATTAAGAGTGACATTTGGAAAGGATACATTTTTGGGATAAGAATATACCATGAACAGCAGTATATCCACCGAAAATATTGAAAAACTAAATAATAAACAGATATATAAAGAGGTGTTCTTAAAAAGACCTACACCACACATATCTAAGCTAGGCAAATAATATTTTGAATACAAAACACTTTAGTACACATATAGGAAACAAAAAATAAACATTTGTTTTGGTTGGACAATTAAATAAAAATTCGAGACAATATTTCTACTTTCTTTAGTTGTTACACTACTACTGCTACTGCAATTTTTACGCTGTCATACAGCTTTGTGTATGCTATTGCCCGCCCTTTGCAGCCAGGCCAATAGAAAACGCAAAGCAGGCTGTAATAACACCAATTTTCAGATATCTGTATTAATACTAATGCGTGTTAAGAATTCACCATGTGAATCGGCCACCGCCCGTATGATTTCCAACAGCAATTCACGCGAGAGACATGCGATTTTCGGTAGCCGCGCCACTCGGGCAAAATCCTTAACAATCAATTTGAGAGCATGCTCTTTAATATCGAAAATTTTCGTATAATCTGATGCCTCCAAGGTTTGAAGGACATTCTCATAGGTTATATTGTGTTCAAGGGAATATTTGCAAAACGAATGTAAACGATTATTGGATAAACCATAAAAATGTGGTGCTTGGAATAGATAGAGTGCATCTTGGGGTGGTAATTTTGTTTCACCATAATATATGTAACGTAATAGGGATTGGAACGCTTCGACCGAGGGTAATATGTCACCAATAGAAATCTGAAAAACAAAATTATGTTATTCCATGTCTTTATTACAATAATGGTATCCTTTAACATTTCTACTTACATTAACTGTATTATCGGGTGGCATAAAAGACCTAAACATTGCCTGGAAATATTGAGTCCTAGCCGAAAGTATAGATTTGTGGGCCATTATTACTTGGCCATCTAATACCAGATTAATATCGCAAAATTCTTTGCCAGTTGATTCCAAAAATACGGCCATATCACTTTCCAATGTGGTACCTTGGCAAATAAATTAAATCATAAATTAAAAACAATAATATATTAACACGATTTACATCGGGTAAGTCAACATACCCACGTTTTTATCTAAATTAGGATCGACCACAACTAGTTTGCCTGGACTTAATTTTTTGCGTATAATTTCCACCAACAAAGGCTTGTCCAAATCACTAAATTCATTGGACATAACAACATCGGTAAAGTTTTCTTCCTTTACCAGAAACTGCATGCAATGATCCTTGACTATTTGTATTCTACAAAAAAAAATAGTTAATTGTTAATTTGAATAGTTCATTTAAACTTTAATATAATGAACTCACTTCTTCTTGTCCGCATTGTACAGGGCCTCCAGAACATTTTGTTTATTTATCTTATAATCCAAATACTGTATACAGCCATGAGCTAATCGCGGCATTAAAAATAATCCCGCCAGTTGGTAGATATCCGTTATGAGTATAATAATATTTTTGTTATACGACTCCTTGAGATCTATACGATCCGTGTAAATGTAATTTAATATAATTTCAAATGCCTCTGGATTGGCATTGGGCAAACGTACTTCCAAGAGCGGGCCTTGATTAGAGGAGGACGAGCATGGCCGTACCTCTATACAACCTGTGCCAAAGACTTTTTCCATTTGCTGTTGCCTAGCATCACGGGCTGCCAATATCTTTGTTCTCAAATATTTAGATCTGGCTGCGACAAATGCAATATGGGCCATAATTTTCACCTCTTCTGGTCCTAGTATAAACTGAATATCACAAAATTGTTTTTCGTTGAAAAATTTCCCATAATCATCACGCAGCGTGCATTTGGGATAACTGGAGAATTGAAAACGATAAGTATCGCCACGTCGTACACTATTATCGACAGTGCCACCAAAAATATACATGGCATCGCTTATAACCGCACTAGCGTGGAATACTCGACCCGAAGGTATGTCAGAATTCGGTTCTGGTTGAATAATGGACCACACTTGAGTATCTAAATCGTAGTAATGCAAATCATTTGGTAATGTGGAGTCAGCGGAGCCGCCAAATACATAGAGAAAACGATCATGATGGACCATGGTGTGGCCATAACGTCTTGATGGAGGTTGAGAGCTAACACCACGCAAAACACTTTCGTTGCCAATACGACGCCAACTGTAAGGTGGAGAAAGGGTTAATAAAACTCGTGGCAAATAAAATCGATCAAAATACTTACGTTAACGTTTTGAAATTAAATTCGAACAGGGAATTTGTAATCTGCATGCCACTTTGCCCGGAAAAGACATACATGCAGTCACGGGCTACGGCCACGGGGAAATTGCAGCATGTAGGTGGACAGTCTCCTTTTTGTTCAACTTCTTCCCATTGATGGTTCTCTCCCTATTAGAATGTAGAAGATAACTTCAGTTTTTGTGCCTATTTCGTCAGTTTGAATCATAAACATTTTACAAAATATAAACATTTCTTCACAATATCAACTACTCTGTTCCACAACCTACAGAACCTAGTTTTCAATTGTTTCCATATCATAAGGGGAAAATCGGTTATCGCAGCGAAAACTTTTACATTCTTGTAGTTCTGGAACAGATTATACACTGCAAATACGACCAATGGTAGTCAGGCCTCTCTAAAATAACAGCCCAAATAAAACACTCTGTACTCGTCAAGAATTTAGGCTCCCGAAAAATGTTATTCTTAATATAAAACCATTCAATCAAAATTTGTCCAATTTATCTGGATGTGCATATTCTGCTGTAATTTATGAAGTAAATTTCAAAATCTCACAATTATTACTTACTGTTAAATTCAACGTCCACATATCATTTAAACGAGCATTACCATCATATCCGGCATATATCCACATTTTATCATCATACACTGCAGCGCCATGAGCCGAACGTGGTACAGGCATTCTATAATTTTTTAAAGAATCATGTTGAACATGCTGGCCTTTTGCATTGACCCTTTGCATATACCTACTTTCCTGAAAATTTCCATTCAACCCACATGGCGCGTTGAAATTCATATTCGAAGAGATCATTTTTATTTGTGAGATTCGAATTACTGTGAATATCGCCAGTATAACCACCAAAAATGAACATTGAGTTGCCATAGACGACAGCCGAATGATGATAACGTGGAGCGGGTGGTGTACCTGTGGCACAAGCCCGACCCCATGACTTATCCTTAACACCAAAGCGTATTAAATCATTGAGCATGGTTTTGCCGTTGTCACCGCCAAAGACATACATGGCATCTTTGTAGGCCACCACGGTGTGCTTCGATCGCCTTCAAAAAGGAAAGGAAAGAATATGTGAAATATGATTAAAATTTGAATGATTTTAAACACCTACTTGGCACCCACAAATTCTGCACACTCCAACATTTTGGACCACTGATGGGTGGCAGTGTATGTGCTGAAATCAACATTTAAAGCATTACAACTGTAACTACCCGGAGACACAGACTTGGAATTGTGCGATGTACAGCCACGCGATGAGGTGCCTCGCATTGAACTTGAACTAGAGTGTGACATTCTGCTGCGGCGACTTTTACGCTCTCCCTCCGACGAATGATGTGAATGATGAGCCTGTTGTAGTTGATGATGTTTATCAGCTTCGCATGCTACACACTGTGTGGGACCAGTGGATGGTGCTACGGTTGCTGGAGTACCGTAATCGTTATTGGATGTTGATGCA